AGCATCGGCCCCCCCGCCATCCTCTGCAACATATTTTTTGCGCGCGCATTTGTTTATCACAAATCAGAAGTTTTCGAAACAATCCTTTGCAACAAATGCGACGAAGTGTACGCGCGCGCGTCGTCGCGCGCACATGCTGGAGTCCTTCAAAAACCGTAGGTTTCGGGAGGATTGAACAAATCAAGCTTCCAAACAACATACCAGAACAATGGGTTTCGCAACGCGGATTTCCAACAAAAGCGTGCGCGCTTGCGAATTCTTCAGAAAACCACAGCTTGTTCAACATGTTCAGCAAATGCTACCAAACGGGCTTCGCGCGCGCGTGTCGAAATCGTTCGAACGCCCTTGCGCGCGTGCTGGGGTGGCACGATCCGTGTCAAATAACACCATGCGAGCCACTCTCGAGCGTCTGCCGCGTGCGCATTTCGACTTCTTTCCAAAACCTTGACCACCGACGCGACGACGCCGTCATCGTCGTCGGCGTGATGAGCCTCGGCGCCGTCACTGGCTGCCCCGTCGTCGCTGTCAGCATCGTTACCAGCGTCGCTACTATCATCATCGTGTCTACCGTTGTCGACGTTGCCATGATACCGCGCCTGTCCAAGCCGCCGGCTCGAACTGAAGTGCACGGTGGGATGTGCCGAGCGGTCAGCGCCACCGCGTTTGCGTCGGTCGCGCCAAACTAGCTGGCCGCTGCGCGCGCGAGCATGCGCGGGCTAGCGCGGCCGCGCAAATGCATCAGCCAACACCAAGCACGCATCGCAATTGCCCCCGCATGGGTTTTGCAAACCAAGTTGCGGGTGGGTGGGTGGGATGTTTGCGCGAGCACTGGAGGGGACAACTTCAAGTTGAGAGCTGGTGGAATTGCACCGCATATATTGCGCCACAAAGGTTCTCCTTTCTTGAAAGAGAACTGATTCTACCCCCCCGGATTATCGGTGCACTTTTCCGTCTTGCAAGTTGCAGATGATTTTGTCCATCGCCCATCCTAAGTGCGAATTCGTACCGTCCCAGCCAGACCAGTATCGACCCCCTCCCCCCGCCACCATTTGAAAAAATGCTATGCGCGCGAATACGTTTCTCAACAACCATCAGTTTTCGAGAATCCTTTTGCAAAGGCCGGACGAAGTGCACGCGCGCGCGCTGTCGCGCGCGCGTGCCGAAATCATTCAAAAACTTCAGTCTCGTAAAGAAGATATAAAACACATGGTTCTGCCACGCGGATTTTGAAAACATGCTTGCGCGCGCGTTCTTGCGGATCTGGAGAAAGCCATAGTTGTGTCAACAACTTCAGAACATGCTACCAAATACGCTTCGCGCGCGCATGTCGAAATCGTTCGAACACCCTTTTCGCGCTTGCTGTCGCGAGAAACCTTTGCAACAATTTGCGGGTGCCCAACAGCCTATCAAAACATATGTTTTCGCAACGTCAACCTTCATGACACAAAGGTTGCCGTGCCTTCCTCGCTGTCAGCATTGTCGCCAGCACCGTTACGATCATCATCGTGACTACCGTTGTCGACGCTGCCATGATACTGCGCCCGCCCAGGTCGCCGAGTTGCACTGACGTGCCCGCTGGGATGTGCCCAGCGGCCAGCGCCGCCGCGGCCGCGTCGGCCGCGCCAAACTAGCTGGCCGCTGCGCGCTCGAGCATGCGCGGGCTTGCGCGGCCGCAGAGATTCACCAGGCAGCGCCAGGCACTCATCGCAATTGCCGCCGCATGGGTTTTGCAAACCCAGTTGCGGGTGTGTGAGTAGGATGATTGCATGAGCATGAACTTTGTCTAGTCCTCTGTCAAACCAGCTCCCCTGTCGTAGCAGAGAAATCATTACCCCCGGACTATCGGTCCCTTTTTTTCGTACTGCAACTTGCAGAGGATCCTGCCCCATCGTCCATCCAAAATATGAATTCACACCATCCCAGCCAGGCCAATATCGACCCCCTGACATCCTTTGCAAAAAGTACTGTGTGCGCGCATTCGTTTACCAACAGTCATTAGTTTCCAAGAATCCCTTGCAAACATTTGGGATGACGTGCCCGGCATGAATGTATAGTACATGAAATACGAAGGGGCTGCAGCCCCAGCATGAGCGGTGAGCGCGAGTTGGGTGAGAAGGGGGTATCAAGGAAGAGAAGGAAGAGGAGGAGGAGGAGGAGGAGGAGGAGGAAAAGGAGGAGGAGGAGGCCTCTTGGGGTATCGGGGCCATCTTGAGGCCTCCTGGCGGCCTCTACGGGCTTACTGGGCCGTGTTGGACTTGCTGTGGCGTTTGGGGGTTGTTTTGGAAGTCTCTAGGGCCGTCTTGGGCGACCTCTTGGGGGCGTCTTCGGGTCCCCTTTGGGGGTTCTGGGGCCCTCGTGGGGTTATCTTGGAGGCCTCTGGGGTCGTCTTCGGCTGTTGGAAGCCCTGAAAAGGAATGCGAACATCTGCCGACAGCATAGGTAGAATCAATGATTCTGTATACAGCACCCCACCAATGCGGATAAGAGTGGGGGGGCCAGGAGGGAGGGGAAGGGGAGGGGGAAACGGAGCTACGACCAGACGTTTCTTCAGGCAGCTCTCCTCACCAGTGCGCCCTTCCAGCGTACAGCGCGCCCTCCCAGCGTGTCCTCCCAGCGTACCCTCCCAGCGTGTCCTCCCAGCGTGCCCTCCCAGCGTCGCCGTCCCTACTCCAGCGTCGCCGTTCCTACTCCTGCCACGCGCGCAGGGATACTGCAAGACTGTTGGGGCCCCCTCACTCTGATGTTCGGGCCCGCCTGGAGGGCCTCGTGGAGCACTTCTGGGCTGTATCGGGGGTGTCTTGGGCCGTCTTGAGGCCAGGTGGGGCCATTTGGAAGCCGTCTTGAGCCCTCTTGAAGCCATTTTGGCTGTCTCGGAGGCGTTGTGGGCCGTCTTGGATGCCGACTTGGGCCGCCTCTCCGGCCCTCTCCTGTCCTCCTCTTCAGTCTTCTTCCTCCTCCTCCTCCTCGTCCTCGTCCCTGAGCACGCGCTCGCGCTCGCGCTCGTCTTCGTCCTCCTGGTCCGCATCCGTAGCTGAAGGAGGAAAAACCACCCAGACCCGACAATCGACGTTTGCTAAACTGCACTGGGCGTTTACAAAGCAGCCCTGCCCTGCTTGATTCCTTCCTTGGGTGCGTTTACTGAACGGCTTCGCTTGTCGTGGTGATTACGGTGGGGGCGTTGGTTAAGGAATGCGCCCAGGAGGCTACAGACCCTGGTGGATTCCTTGTCTGATGAGGGCGGCGGTGATATCCATGGCCAAGCTGCGATTGGAGTTCCACTGGCTTCCAGACCTTGGATTCCTTATCTAAGGGTCTCCTATCCAATACCCCCACCGTGTTATGGGGGTGGATTTTCGGTCCTCCTCCGTAGCCGCTTTGGCCCGAGCGCTCCCTGCTCGGGCACGAGACCATGGCGCGGGCATCGAGCGCGCGCCGCCGCGCGGCGGACCCGCCGCCCAGACATGGGCGCGCCCACCGCGTGACCGCGGCCCTCGTCTCGGCCACGCGCCAGAGTGGCCTTTCGCCGGAGTGGCCTGTGGTGCGGGCACACCGGGCTCGCCCTGAAAGATCCCAGGAGAGTTCGCGACAGGCGGGGGAGCAGGAGGAACACAAGAGCGATGCGGATGTCCTCCTCCTCCTCCTCCTCCTCCTCCTCCGCCTCCTGCTCCTTTGCCTCCTCCTTTGCCTCCTCCTTTGCCTCCTCCTCCTCCTCCTCCTCCTCCGCCTCCTCCTCCTCCGCCTCCTCCTCCTGCCCCCCGCCCCCAGATGGTGGCTGGATGCGATGCAGCAGCGGCTTCCGCGCTCGGGCTTGGCGCCCCCGCGCCCCGCCCGAGAGGCGCGCACCCGAGGCCACTCTCGCCCAGGGTCACTCCTGCGTGTAGCCGACCTGTCGGGGGCAACGATAGGGGGGGGGGGGATGGGGATAGGGGGGGGGATGCGTCGACCCCCAATCGCCCACTGATCGCTGATAGGGGCCCGATGGCACCAGCCTGCCCAGGAGCGTGCGGATTCACGATCGGAGGCCTATCGCCTATCTATCGGCGAGACATCGCCGATTCCAGGTCAATGTTTCCCTCCCTATGCCAGCCCCTTCCTATCGTTGCCCCTCAGCCTTCGAAGAGGAGGAGGAGGAGGACGAGGAGGAGGAGGAGGAGGACCAGTAGAAACCCAAGAGTCATCAACGATGTTGGAATTAACCCTCCCTCCAAGCTCCCTCTTCACAGGCCCCTACAACGGTTCATTTCCATTGAGGGAACCGCTTCGGTGGATGACAACAGTTTGAAGATCTTGAAGCGTGCCAAAACATTGTTCTCGGGATGCCAACGCCACGTGTCAACCTGACTGCTGCGTCTTGACGATCCAGAACCGTGCCAGATCGCCATGTTTGGGACTTCAACACGGCGAATCAACATGACTGCTGCGCCCGCATAATCCTGAATCCTTCCAATACAATATGTGTGGCACGTTGATCATGGGAGTCCGTGAAACTCTGGTATTTTTTACACGAATGTGCGCGACGCTAAGACGAGAGCCACATTTTGGAAACGACCCGCCCTCAATCCGTGAAGCTCGTGCAATTTGTTCAAACGAATGTGCGCGGCGTTAAGACGAGAGCCACATTTTGAAAACGACCCGCCCTCAATCCGTGCAGCTTGTGCAATTGTTTCAAACGAATGTGCGCGGCGCTAAGGCGAGAGCCACATTTTGCAAACCACCCGCTCTCAATCCGTGAAACTCTTGTAAGTTCTAAAACGAATCTGCGCGGCACTAAGGCGAGAGCCACATTCTGAAAACCACCCGCCCTCCATTTATGAAACTGCTGTCACTTTTTAAGCTTCAAAGTCATAATTGGTGAGGAAGTCTCAGGCGAACCGCCCAGCCCGCCCTGAAAACTGGCTTCGGGATGCGACAGGGAGAAGTTATCTATAAGGAGAAGGAATGGAGGAGGAGGAGGAGGAGGCGGGCCCTCACGCCAGGGCTGAAGCGCCCCTAGCTCAGGCATGAGGGCATGGCGCCGGCAGACGGTGCGCCGCCGCGCTGCGGCCCCGCCGCTCCGGCGCGTGCACGTCCACCGCGTCACCGTGATCCCGTTCGACGAGGATGGCTGGGGTCGCCCAAGAGTGGGGTGATGACTGTGGGTGTGGATATCATGGCCTGGGCCAAGGTAGCAATCTCTCCTATTTCATGGCCCTGTTCTTCTTGCTTCAATGCATCCTCTGGCTCCCCCCTCGTCCGCGCACATTCTACGGGTCATGACTTGCGAGCCCCTCTCTCGGACGCCCCACTCTTGGGCGCCCCCCGCGGAGGAGGAGGCGGGGCCTCACGCCAGGCTCGGTCCCGCGCTGCGCGAGTTCCTGGACGGTGCCGCGCCCAGGGACGCCGGGCTGCGCGAGTGGCTGTGCCGGGCGCTGCCTGGCGACGTGGCAGGCGGCCCCTTCTCCAGAGATGGGCTCCTGGAGGCGCTGCGCGCGCTGAGGTGGCTGCACGAAAGAGGCGCGCCCGCGGACGAGCTGGACGGGCACTGGGAGACTCTGGCTGGCGCCACCCAGGATCGGGAAAGCGTAAGATTCGAGTTCGCCGGAGCCCGCGTTTGCCGATGCTTGTTTGACGAGCGCGTCCTGGTTTTTGTTGACGGTCCCGCTTCCGCGGGATGTTTGCAGTCATGGGCGGGAAACATATCCATATCCCCAGCCGGCCTTGCGAGCTGGGCACACTGGCTTCGACCCCATGGATACGGGGCGTTCTTTCGCGAATTCCCAACGCGGAACGTATCCATGCGACCGCGTATCCACGGGATCGCGTCCCGGAACCCTGACCGCCAGGGCGAGGATATGGCTATGTTCGCCCGTCGTGATGTAGGGGGAGCCCGCGCCCATTTTCGGACCGGGTCTCGTCATTTTCCTGACGGCCCTGTCAGGCCAACCCGAGTCCCCTTTTCTCTCCTTTTCCTCCTCCTCCTCCTCCTGCTCCTCCTCCCCCTCTCCCTCCTCCCCCGAAGCCGAGTCTCACGTATCCCCGCCAGGACCAGGTCGCCTGCCTGCTGCCGCCGGACCTGGCCGAGGCGTGCCAGGCCTTGGCGTTCTGCGAGCGGCGCTATCCCGAGCTCGTGCGGCTGCTGAGCCAGCACATACGGCGCCTCAACCGCTCCTTCGGCTCCGCGGACATAGGCCTCGTCTCCCGGGCCTACAGCAAGATGGGCTGGCGCTCGTCCAAGACGATATCGTACCTGAGCCGACAGATGGTGCGGCTGCTCCGGAACCCAGAAACGGCGGCGCTCGTCCAGCCGCAGGATTTGGCCGCGCTGGTGGGGGCGTACCCGCAGCTGTCGATATCCGTGGGCAAGAAGAAAGAGGGAGGCGCACTGGACCTGTGGAGGGCGGTGGCCGTCGCGGTGCCCTCGCACATGCAGCAGATGAGGCCCAGGCACTTCACGGTCATCCTGAACACGTACGCCAGGATGGGCTTTTCGTTCACGGCCATCCACAGCCACACCAGGCGTATGTTCGAGGCATGTGCGAACCACCTCGTCCCGCGCCTCGCGGACCCTGGGCCAGGTCCGCGGGCGGCTGGGGACGAGGCGGTCGATGCTGCAGGGGCGGAAGGGGTGGACGTCTTCTCTGCGAGGGACGTCGCCATCATCTGCAACGCCTACGCCAAGGTCAGGGCGGGGCCCTACGTCCGGCCTCTGATGCAGGCCGTCGCGGCCAGGGTGGTGGCGGGGGCCGCGGAGGGTGGGGCCCACTTCCACCAGGATACGGCGAACGTGCTCAACGCGTTCGCGATGCTGGAGGTCACCAGCCCCGAGGCGTTCGAGGCGGCCGCGCCAGGCATCGTGGAGCACGTGGCGACCTATACGGCCCAGTCCCTTGCCAACGTGGCCCACGCATACGCAAAGCACGACACGAGACACATAGCGCTCCAGGAAGCGGTGGCGCAGATGTCCCTGCGGCTTCTCGACCGCTTCATGCCCGTCCACCTCGGGCAGCTTGCCTACGCGTTCGGCCGCCTCAGGGTGCGCCACGACGAGTTCTTGTCCGGCCTCAGGGACGAGGTGATCTACCGCGGGACGGTGGGCAGGAGTTTGCAGAGAGTCAGCAGCATGTACACCTTCCCGCTCGCCTGTATTGGGCAGATAACCCAGGGCGCGGCGCGCCTCGGGATGCGCGATCAACGGCTGTATTTCGTGCTGTTCGACATGGCCCGCCAGAGGGAGCGCGAGTTTGCGAGGAGGATGCGGAGCAAGGAGAAGGCAGCAGCCGAGACCGAGGAAGGGGGCGGCGAGGCAAACCTGAGCCTCGCGGCTAAGATGGCCATCCGGGGCGAGTGCCCAGAGCTGCTGACGGGCCACCTGCTGTCCGTGCTCGTGTCCGCGTTCTCCAGGAGCAAGGCGGACTTCCACTCGTTCCTCCGGTGGGTACCACGGCAGGTGGAGTCGCTGAAGGGGCAGTACACCACCTCGCAGCTCGCCACCATCTTCAGCTCCTGCGCGCGCCTCGGGATCGCGCACCCACCCATGTACAAGGAAATCCTGCAGCACGCGAGGCCACGCGTCGCGCAGATGTCCCCGAAGGCCCTCGCGAAGCTGATCCGCGGGATGTCCGACGTGAGGATGTACAAGCGCGTGCTGATGAGGCAGGCCGTGCAGGTCATCTCGCCTCGCCTGCTGGACCTGGACGTGCTCGACCTCTGCGACCTGCTCTCCGGCTGTGCGCGGCTCGCGTACCGCGACGAGCGCTTCTTGCGTGTGCTGGCGGCGGCCGTGCGCTCCAAGAAAGACGAGATGAGAGCAGGTCAGCTTGCGTCGGCTCTGATAGACTTCAGCCACATGCGAGTGGCGCACCACAAGTGGTACAACTTCGTGCTTTTTGAGCTGTTCCGGCGCCAACATGAACTGAACCAACGGGACGCTACCAAGGTCGCAAAGGCCATGGTGCTTGTTGCCGCTTCTAAGCAGCATGACCCTTCGGCCACCACTGGGAAGGTGCAGAACGACGATGGAGAGGAAGTCTGGTATCCTTTTGACCAGCACAGGGGGATAATGTTTAGCATGCTGAACGTGGTGCACGGCAAACGTCAGAACCTCACCTATCCCATCGTGGCGCAGCTGCAGATCATCGAGCTGTTTCTGCGGTTCCTGGTTCCCTCCGTCTATCGCGAGATGCCGCATCCCTTGAAGGTGTTACTGGCCAAGGCCAGGCGAGTGAACCTAGCAGTGGACGACTACATGAATAACTCTTCCAAGATGCACAGGGACATTTCCAAGTGCTTCACGGAGGTCGGCCTAAATCACCGAAGCGAGGTGTTCATCGGCCCGTTCATGCTGGACATGGTGATCGGAAACAAGGTGGTCGTGGAGGTCGATGGCCCCTCGCACTTCTACAGGGACACCAACAGCCGAACCGCCGCCAGCCTGCTGAAATCCGCGCTGCTCACCTCCATGGGCTTCCGCGTCAAGCACCTGCCCTACCAGGAGTGGTCTCAGTGCGGCACCGCCGCGAAGCGCACGCTCTACTGCGCGGCCTTCTGGCGGGATGTCCTGGCGCAGGGCCCGCGCGAGGGTTAAGTCGGGCACGTCTCTCTACAGGAGGAATGTTCAAAAGCAATCCACAAATAGTCTGGGGACGATTCTTCTGGCATATTTTCGTTTTTCAGATGCTTTTGCATAGGTTTTGACCATGTTTCATTTCTCGCCCGAGATCCGCCTGTGGGAGGACACGCCCGACCGAAGGCGAGGGCGAGCCAGCGCGGCCCTCGGCACCGCTGGTGGACATCGTGGAGATGCTGGTGCGGTCGCAGCAGCGGCCGGGGCCGCCCGCCAGTGCCGGCGCCGCGCCGCCAGGCCCCGCATTCTACGGCGAGGACGCGGCGAGGTGCTGGGGAAACGTTAGGCTCGAGTAAGGCAGGTTCGCGTCGTTTCGACCGGCGGCGACCCCGCCGCTGGCGTTCAACACTGAGCGCAGCCGGCGACCCAGAATCGGTCGATGTTGAACGATCTTGACGTTTCGGGAACGGCCGATCGTTCAAGATTGAACGACCCCCGCGATGTCGGCAACCAACGCCGGGGTCATCACGACGCGGACCTGCCGTGCACCGGGGCTCGGGTCTGCCGCCGCTTTTTGACGACCAGTCCTGGTGACGGTCCGGTGTTCGTGGGCTGTCTGCAGCGGGAGCTCGCGCCAAATTTCAGATTGGGTCTCGTCAGTTTCCCGACAGCCCCGTCAGGCCAGCCCGAGGCCCCCGAACCCGAGTCGCAGGTCTCCCCGAAGGTGGGACGAGCTGGAGGCGCGGGCAGACAGCCGGGCCGGGGAGCTGAACGCCGGGGAGCCCGGCGCGGAGGGCCGGCCCGCGGAGGGCCCAGTGAGGTCGTACGGGGCCCAAGCATGTACACCACCACCACCTCCCTCAGAGCCTCCCTCTCCCAGGACAGAGGGGAAGAAGAGTAGGGTTGAGTAGGGTAGAGGAGGAGAAGGAGGAGGAGGAGGAGGAGGAGGAGGAGGAGGAGGAGGAGGAGGAAAGCTGTAACCTCTCCTGCGCGCGGGGGCCCGTCCGCCGCGGGCGCCGCCGCCGCGCCGCGCCATCGGGCCCTCTGCAAGAGAGAGGGCACGGCTCAGCGCGGCTTGCTGGCCCGCGGCCCCCAGGCGGGGGCACGCCATAGCGGCGGCGCCGCCGCAGCTCACCAGCCTGGCATCGGCGAGCGCCACGACTTTGTGCAGCGGCACGTGTTCTCCTGCGTCTAGACAAGGCGCGCCAGATTCTGTCCAGGAGTCACTATTCAGGCAGAGCTGTTTCTGGAGATCTGGTTGGTCGGCAGCAGTACGAAGGATGGAAGCATGTGACGTGTGGCAGTGCAAATCTTCTTTTCGAGCGTCGCTGTCGCAATCGACGCTGTGCAATGACGATGAAAGGGAACCATATGCGCGTGCACGGTGACCAGAAACGCGCCCAGGACCACCAGAAACGGGACCACAGGGTGCAGAAGGTCATCCAGGATACCATGCTGTGCACCAAGGAGTATGCCGAGCGGCACAGGATCTACCAACCACCTCCTGCTGTTCGCGACATCCCTCGCCGCAATCAGGAGACCACCTCGAAGATGAACGTGCTGGCGGAGGTCATAGTAAAAAGGTCATGAAGCGAGGACCTGGACCCGAGAGCAGGAAAAGAAACTGGCGGGGCTGCGTTACATTCAATGGCAGTTGCAGTCCAGAGCGCAGCAGGACAAGGAAGCGAGAGACGGCATCAACAAAACGAAGGAGCATATTGTGGTGAACGAGCAGAAGATGGAGAGCTTCGCGACGGACATGATGGTCCACGAGATGACGGTAGACTACTGGGATGACTTGCTGGCTGAAACGATGGACCCAGACTCAGGTTCCCCAGGAGGTGGTAGCGAGGATGGATACCATCGGCGTCGAGCACTGGCTGTTTCGGCAACGTGTGACCAGGTGCAGTTTGGTGGACCAGATCGTGTTCCTGCGGCTGCAGTGGCTGCGAAAAGCGACCGAGCAGAAGTTACACCACCGTTACCGCCACCACCACCGCCACCACTCACGATGGCTGCGCCTCAGAATGTCGCTTCCGAGGGGCCCAAGCCCCAAGACAGAAGACCGACTGTTGATGGTAGACACCTGCGACCAGTTGGGTATACACCAGAGAGGACGAAGAGTGCTGCAGCCCCGTCATCACCGTTACCAACGACGCCAGCTTCAACTCCTCCTGGAATTGTGCCGATTCGTGTTGCAGCTTCCGCTTCGGCAACCCAGCAGGCGCAGGCAAACCTCGAGATGACGATGAAGCGCGCCAAGGAGAGAGCCAGGCTGACCGTCCACGCGCGCGACCTCGCCACCCCCACCGCCCCCGCGGCGAAGGAGGAGCATGCCCGAACGCCGACGGGGGCGAACTACGAGAGGACGATGACGAGCTCGGGGGGGGCGCCAAGTTACAGCCCACGAACCGCGACCAGCGCGACTCGGAGATCGGTGAGTTTTGCCATGCTGACGGAAGGTACGGCTGTCTAAGATGCGGCAGCCCGAGGGCAACCCAAGTCGGCGCGATCGAGTGCGCCCTCCCACCTCCACCACCCCCTCCTCTACCACCTGCTGAACCATGCCCAGCTGAGCGGCATGAGATGTTTGACTTCGACGCAGCAGTTGGCCAGCAAATGCGGGGCGACGATGATCGGAGTGCTGCTACGCGCACCTTCGAAGCTGAAGCTGAAGCGGAGGCCCTACTCATTTACGACGCCGAGCAGAAGGACCTCGAGGATGCAGCCGGCAAGGTGGAGGAACATCGCCTGCCCGCCAAAGAATGGGGGCTTGCTGATGCCAGGGCTTTTCGTGGATATGCCTTGCAGAGCTCAGCTGCGTTACTACGGGGCACTGCTCATGGTGTCCCTGATGATGGTGGCGTCGTTGCCGTCGGAGACGAGGAGGGCGAACTCGCGGGCAACCCGACACCTCCTGCTCGGCCCCAGCGGGGGGGGGCCGGCAGGAGCCTGACCGCGGAGCGACCCGCTCGCAAGACGCTAGGGGTCGACCGGTCCCCGATCGTCGAAGGGCATGCAGAAGCCAGTCAGACGCGATCCTCTGGGTCCAGAAGCGAGCGCCCTACAACGACGGGGGGGGGGGGCGCCCACTTCGGCGAGCCCAAACCCTTAGGTGGCAGAGAGACTTCGAAGTTTGTGGAGGCGGGGGCTTCTTTTTCCAGTTCTTTTGACCGTCCACGTAAAGCTTGTTTTCGGGTACATCATGTTGATGTGACTCCATGAATCAGACCCAGAATCTGTTCCTGGGGGAACTTTGAACGCAGTCCCCGACGAGCTGATGGCGCTTTACTGGTCGTGGCGCCCCTGGTTGCAGCAGGGTCATCTGGGCCTCGAGATCCATCGGCTGCCATTCCTTTCTTGATTGACCCTTCGCACACACGCACACGCGCACACACGCACACACGCGCGCGCACGCGCACGAGCGCACACGCGCACGCGCGCGCGCACGCGCACGCGCGCACGCGCGCACGCGCGCACGCGCGCACACGCGCACGCGCACGCGCGCACACGCGCACACGCGCACGCGCGCACGCGCGCACGCGTGCGCACACGCGCACGCGCACACGCGCACGCGCACACGCGCACGCACGCGCGCACGCGCGCACACGCGCACACGCGCACACGCGCACACGCGCACACGCGCACGCGCACACGCGCACACGCGCACACGCGCACACGCGCACACGCGCACACGCGCACACGCGCACACGCGCACACGCGCACACGCGCACACGCGCACACGCGCACACGCGCACACGCGCACACGCGCTCACGCGCACACGCGCACACGCGCACACGCGCACACGCGCACACGCGCACACGCGCACACGCGCACACGCGCACACGCGCACACGCGCACACGCGCACACGCGCACACGCGCACACGCGCACACGCGCACACGCGCACACGCGCACACGCGCACACGCGCACACGCGCACACACGCGCGCACACGCGCACACGCGCACACGCGCACACGCGCACACGCGCACACGCGCACACGCGCACACGCGCACACGCGCACACGCGCACACGCGCACACGCGCACACGCGCACACGCGCACACGCGCACACGCGCACACGCGCACACGCGCACACGCGCACACGCGCACACGCGCACACGCGCACGCGCACGCGCACACGCGCACACGCACACGCGCACACGCACACGCACACGCACACGCACACGCACACGCACACGCACACGCACACGCACACGCACACGCACACGCACACGCACACGCACACGCACACGCACACGCACACGCAC